TTCTCTTGCTATTCCTAATTTTGTCCCTTTTAATGCGTTCTTTTTCGCGCTGTTTGCGTTTTCTGAGCGTCGCAGCCTTTACTGTCTGCTCTGAAATTCAATGTAAATTTTCAATTTATGATTTAGTCTACAATTAAAAAATTCAATTGTCTTAAATACGATGATATTTTGTTTTTAGTTATAAGTTCATGTATACTCCGCATAAAAATATTACTGCTAATTTACTTTCAGGGAATCCGTTTTACCTTTTGTGGTAGAACTCTTTTGTATTTCCCTTACTCTCCTCCTCCATTCACGAGTCTGCTCAACCCTTTTCTGTTTCCTTATTTCTTTGTTTATTTTTATTCGTATTGCAGCAATCAAAGACCCTGTTTAATTATTAATTCAAATAAATGTTCACTGCCAAGTCAAGTTAATGTTCAAAACATCATTTATGCCATTTTGCATCACCCGTGACAAAAAAATATTTATAATTATTAATGTTTTATTTGTAAAAATCAACTTTTAAGATTCGAATTGATTGCATTTTAGGCATTGAAATGTTATGAAGAATTTTATTTTACTTTAAAATGCATTATGTATATGTCATTTTTTAAAAATCCTTTTTTATAAAATAATGCATTAAGTATTTCTGTTTTCACTACAATTTTTTTTTTCTAACGAAAAACGTACACGACCGTATGACGTTAAATGCGCCATTGCGTCATTTTATATGTAAGTGTGACATTAATGTTGACATTATTTTATTTGTAAAAATCAATTATTTTGATTCGTAATACTTGCACATTTGGCATCAAAATGTTCGAGGAGAAATGCACATTTCAAATATGAATTTATTTTTGGGAAACATTTTTGCTAGTTTTGTAGAGGAATGTCTAAATTCAGTATTATTTCAAATTCTTATTTAATTTATGTGTTTTTATGAAAGCGTGACATTCGTGTTGACATTTTAAAATGTCTCTGATATGAACATTAGCGAGTATATATGCCTCCTTTTAAAGAATATAACACCTTTAAAAATGCACATTCTGAAACTATTTTAATATTATGAAAAAAGGCTAAGATTTCCGATAATGAGCATACCATTTGTGATCACCATGCTACGCATGACGTTCGGATGTTAAAATTTCTCCTTTGTGACACGTGTCTTTTAAAAATGTTAATAGTTAAACAATCTCCTGCGTAATAGTTTTTATGAATAAATGCTTTAAAATGAAAAATCGAACGGAAGATATTTATATATTTAATATTATTTATCATTTCCATCAAGATGTTATCAGTAAAACACCAATAAGTTGCTATACACAACATATTTTATCTTCGATTTGCCAAAAATATTGAAATTAAGAAATATACTTGTTTTGTGACGCCTTCTGTCTTCTATCGTTTTTGAACTTAAATTCAAAGAAAATAAACTATTCTCAATAATTTACTTTGAAATTTTACACAGTATCCATTTTTCTCAGTTTACAAATCAAAAACAAATTATTAGATGACTGTAAGTACATACATTTTCATAAATTATAATTTATATTGTGGTAATTTACCTGATTCTGAGGTGGCCGTTTCCGATTTGTGTCCCTTATCTACAGGTTCATACTGAGAATTCTTTGACCCGGCGTTGATTCCTGGCATTAATTACGTCAACAATGTTATGACGTATATATTTTACATCATCACAATAATTAGTCCGCCAAATATTTTCCCCCAAAAATGAAATTTCGCTGAGATATTGTAATTAATTTTAAATATGTATTTTGCATCTGTTACCTATCTACATGGCATTTTGGGCAAATTTTGGGGGTTTTAACACTGATTTCTCAAATTTAACTTTTTTTTATTACAATTTATTGTATATTTTATTGAAGTCCACGATCCTATCAACATATTGATATATAATATAGCATATATCTTTAATATTTTTTATTGAAAAGTAGTCTAGTTGTCAGCGCGCACTGCGAGAAAACATTTTAACACCAACATCGTGCGCGACGTCCTGTCAAATGAAACCGACGAAATGAGTCGTTCGAAATGGTCTTTTTTAAACTCTTCTTCCACCATCTAGAAATAATTAATATGTGTACATTAATTCATTGAAATTCCTTATTTTTAGCTCTACTGGTCAGAGACCAGAAGAGCTTATGCGATAGTAATGCGTCCGGCGTCCGTCCGTCCGTCTGTCTGTCTGTCTGTCTGTCTGTCTGTAAACAATTTTTCAAAATGCTACTCCTCCTACAGTTTTGATCTGATTTCAATATAACTTGGCACACAAGTAGACTACACTAAGATACATACTTTTGTGTATCGGTTTTTGATTTCGATGAACGGTGTTGGCGTTGTTACTAAAAATAGAAATTTCTGTGAAATTCTTTCAAAATGCTACTCCTCCTACAGTTTTGGTCTGATTTCAATATAACTTGGCACACAAGTAGACTACACTAAGATACATAATTCTGTGTATCGGTTTTTGATTTCGATGAACGGTGTTGGCGTTGTTACTAAGAATAAAAATTTCTGTGAAATTCTTTCAAAATGCTACTCCTCCTACAGTTTTGGTCTGATTTCAATATAACTTGGCACAAAAGTAGACTACACTAAGATACATACTTCTGTGTATCGGTTTTTGATTTCGACGAACGGTGTTGGCGTTGTTACTAAAAATAGAAATTCCTGTGAAATTCTTTCAACATGCTACTCCTCCTACAGTTTTGGTCTGATTTCAATATAACTTGGCACACAAGTAGACTACACTAAGATACATAATTCTATATATCGGTTTTTGATTTCGATGTACGGTGTTGGCGTTGTTACTAAGAATAGAAATTTCTGTGAAATTCTTTCAAAATGCTACTCCTCCGACAGTTTTGGTCTGATTTCAATATAACTTGGCACAAAAGTAGACTACACTAAGATACATACTTCTGTGTATCGGTTTTTGATTTCAACGAACAGTGTTGGCGTTGTTACTAAAAATAGAAATTCCTGTGAAATTCTTTCAACATGCTACTCCTCCTACAGTTTTGGTCTGATTTCAATATAACTTGCTACACAAGTAGACTACACTAAGATACATAATTCTGTGTATCGGTTTTTGATTTCGACGAACGTTGTTGGCGTTGTTAGTAAAAATAGAAATTTCTGTGAAATTCTCTCAAAATGCTACTTCAAATACAGTTTTGGTCTGATTTCATTATAACTTGGCACACAAGTAGACTACACTTAGTTACATAATTCTGTGTATAGGTTTTTAATTTCGACAAACGGTGTTGGCGTTGTTACTAAAAATAGAAATTTCTGTGAAATTCTTTCAAAATGCTACTCCTCCTACAGCTTTGGTATGATTTCGATATAACTTGGCATATAAGTAGACTATACTAAGGTACATAATTCTTTATATCCGTTTTTGACTTCAATGAACATTATTACCTTGGTTAATAAAAATAGCAATTTCTCTTACTCTCAAAATGCTATTTCAAATACAGTTTTAGTCTGATTATAATATAATGTGGCATGCAAGTAGACTACACTAAGAACATAAAGAGAATTATTCAAGGATCATTATTCTATTTATTGCTGTTGTAAAGTTTCAATTCCCAACTGCTTAAGTTCTTTCCTCTTCCTTTGCTATAAGTACAAACCAGTAGAGCTTCAGTCTCGTCAGAGACTTCTGGTTTTAAAAATTTGATATAACTTTTAGATTTCCATACATAAAATAATCATATTTAAAGTAATTTATTCAAACATATTTATATACCTGGAATGATGTTGAAGGAGTAGAGAAATAGGTCCTCTGGCCGCGAAATTGAGGGCTATTTCTCATACATGGCTCCGACGGTTATTTGGTCTGCTCTGTCCTTTCTCACCAAAGGGTCAGAGCGACCCTCCATTGCCAGTTGGATCTCACCTCGTGATGTAGTACTAGTTTTTGCTAGCTCACCAATCTAAAAAAATAAGTCGATACTACTCGCCCTCAAATTTTGAGTACTCTGAGTAGGGTGCACAGCTGGTTAAAAGATATGAAAATTAGAGAAAAGTAAATTTCAATGCGGTGAAAAGGGAACAGTACATTGTATTAAGTTATTAGTGAAGATAAAAAGTTAAGAAAAACAGTATTCAGAGTTAAAAGATGTAAAACACTATTAATATAATTAAGGTCTGGGGTGATTCAGTTTGCTCACTTCGAGTTTGAAATGCTCAAAATCTGGAAGTGAGACAACACTGCCTGGCAATCTGTTCCACTGAACTATTGTAAGAGGGAAAAAAGAATACTTATAGACATTTTTTGGTCACCTGAGTACTCAGGTGACCTATTGCTATCACTTTTCGTCCGTCGTCGTTCGTCGTGCGTTAACATTTGAACATTTTCAGCTTCTTCTCTGAAACCACTGAACCAATTTCAACCAAATTTGGCATATAGCATCTATGGGTGAAGGGGAACAAAAATTGTGAATTTCATGGTCCCTGCCCCCCCCCCTGGGGCCTGGGGGTGGGGCAAAAACCATTAAAATTAGTACAATCTTTAAAAATCTTCTTCTTTACTCCTGGACATCAAGCAGTCAAACTGTTTGCATGATTGTAATCAGCATTGAGTCCTCTACCAAAATTGTGAAATTCATGGCCCCGGGGCACAGGCACTTGTTTCTGTAAAAAAATTTTGACCCATAGTATAATAATAACACAAGGTGTCTAACTCCGATTTTCACCGAGTACCCCCCTCCCTTAGAATCGCGCTCATTTACACTTTCAGAGGAAATGCATGGGTAAACTGTTTATACCTGTCTTCTACGATAATTTATCTACACAACCATATCTGGCATGCTTGTCTTTATTTTCTTTTATCTCCGTAATCAGCGTCAAAACTCTGCTCGCCGAGTGAAAAGTCAAACTGTACCACAGGATTGGATGTTCTGGGTTCGGGCAGAATGCAAGGTTGGTTTTGATTGGTTATGATGATGTTTTTTAAATAGCATCGGGAAAAATATTTCGTTATTTATAGCAAACCGAAAGTAAAAACAAAATGGACCCAAAGCAAAAGCACGCTTTAAACGCCATTATCAACGGACACAATCTTTTAATTCTTGGGCAAAGTGGGACAGGGAAGAGTTTTCTAATAGGGAGGATTAAAGAAACGTTTAAGAACTCTTCTAAAATTGTTGCAATAACGGGGACTACAGGCGTGGCATCGCTGCACATCGGTGGTGTGACTATTCACTCGTGGTCAGGTATTGGAGATGGACGATTTTCTAATGAAAAGCTTCAGAATAAAATATGCAATGATGAGCATTTTGCCAAGTACAAAGAAAACATACTGAAAACTGACATTTTGGTGATTGATGAAATTTCAATGCTTTCTTTAAAACTTTTCAACCAATTAGAATATATTTGCAGAATCACTAGAGAAAATGACAATTACTTTGGAGGAATCCAGGTAGTAGGAAGTGGTGATTTTTTCCAATTACCCCCTGTTCCTGACGTGTTAAAACAAGACTTTGGTGAATTTTGCTTTAAATCCAGCATTTTTTCAAGTGTATTTAGGCATAAAATTATTTTGGACAAAGTTATGAGACAAGATGAACCTGATTTTGTCAAAGCAGTAAATGATGTCTCTAAAGGCAAGCTACCAATTGAAACTGAAAATCTTCTTAAACGTCTGCAAAGACCTCTTCCGCCCGGAGAGGATCCTATAAGACTTTTTGCACGGAATTTTGATAAAGAAATCTACAATTCCTCATTGTTAATTGACCTACCAGGTGAGATGCATACATTTAAAGCAACAGATGAGGGTGACACTAAATTCCTAGAAAAAATTCCTGCACCGAATGTTTTGTATCTGAAAGAAAATTGCCCTGTTATGCTTGTCAAAAATTTGAGCACTACATTAGTTAATGGTCTACAAGGAAGAGTTCTCAGTGTTTCAAAAAATTCTGTGACAGTAAAATTTAACGATACAGTGACAGAATTGAGAAAAGAAATTTTCACTGCTTATAGTTCTATAGATGACAAAGTTGTAGCCAGTACATCACAGATTCCCTTGGCTGTATCCTTTGGGATAACAATACATAAAGCTCAAGGATTATCCATGGACAGAGTGGAAGTAGATTGCTCCAATATATTCAAAGCCGGAATGTTAGGAGTTGCTATCGGGCGAGCAAGAAAGAAGAAAGGACTGAGATTAATAAACTTCCATCCCTACAATGTTCTTAAACCAGATGCAGCCATTTTTGGCTTCTATGATCAAGAAACATTTCCCTTCCTTTCAGAACTGGCATGTTGTAATATTCCATTTTCACTGGAAGAAGATTTCAACACTGACTTTGACAACCCATTCATAGATTCTGAGTCTGAAATGTCAGACTTTGATGCAGAAGAAATACGTGAAATTGATAGAATGTCTACACTATCAGCAACAGAAAATGTTCCCACTGATGATACTCCAGAAAATTTCTCAGAAAAGCTTCACACGGAATGTCCCATAGACATAGACAAGATAAGATCATGTTTACAAAATATGCATGTACAGACAGATGAACAAAGAATTATACATGAAGGACTCTTTGATCTTCTTGAAAAAAATGAATTTGAATCAAAATTTTTCTTAAAGAGACTTTATGAGAAACTTTCAGTAATATATCTTGAAAACTGTGCAGCAAGTGAGGGAAGAAATCCTGACTCTAAAATGTGGACCAAATATTACTGTGAATTGTTTAAGTTTACAAGTTCCAGTGAGTACAAGGCATTAATTGAAGAATGTATTCATCACAATGCAGAACAGCATGATTTTATGATTTTTAGCAAAGTATTTGATATTGTGTCAAACTTTATTTTGGAAGAAAAGGCAAAATCATTAAAAGCAACTCCTGCACCAGTTAAGAAACAACTTTATCTGAAAATTGACTCGCCAAGTATAGGCAAATTGAGATATATTTGTGGGAGATGTGTTGCCAAATCAAAGCACCATTACATCAAATTAGCGAGAAATAACATGTATAAGAAAGACAAATTAATTAATGTCACTTCCTGTTTTGTAAAAGTGAAGATGTTGGATTTTTTAGCATCTACTTATGATGAGTTGGCACAAAACAGTATGTATAAAGAAACTCTTGAAGAGACGAGGAGACTCCAAAACATTTCTCAAAGTCTGACAAATGTGAAGGACAATGTTTTAGATTTTTTTATTCAAGTGGACAAGATTAAGCAAGAGCTCTATGAAAAGATTTTTCATTCAGAGGGTTCTAATGTGTTAAATTCTGTGCAAGATGAGCTTTCCAAAAATGAAGCATTAATCAACAAGTTTGAACATTTGTTACAAAACTTTGAATTCAATGATACTTTTTTGAAATGTGACAAAAATATGGCACTGAGTAGTTTAAAAGAACTTTATTTTGACCTGATATTGAGATTTTGTCGTGTCGCTGATAACCAGTTTCGGAAAGATGTGCTGAGAACTTTACAAAAACAAACCAGAAGTCTCTGTCGAGACTGTAGCTCTACTGGTTTGTACTTATCAAAAACCATTGCACTATTTTATGTATCTTTGTGTAGTCTACTTGTGTGCCAACCTATTTTGAAATCAAACTAGAACTGTAGAAGGAGTAGCGTTTTTAAGGAATTTCACAGAAAATTCTATTTTTAGTAACCATGGTAATACCGTTAATCGAAATCAGAAACAGATGCACTATTCTATGTATCTTAGTGTAGTCTACTTGTGTGCCAAGTTATATTGAAATCAGATCAGAACTGTAGAAGGAGTAGCGTTTTTAAAGAATTTCACAGAAAATTCTATTTTTAGTAACCATGGCAAAACCGTTCATCAAAATTAAAAACTGATGCACTATTCTATGTATCTTTGTGTAGTCTACTTGTGTGCCAAGTTATATTGAATTCAGACCAAAACTGTAGAAGGAGTAGTGTTTTTAAGGAATTTCACAGAAAATTCTATTTTTAGTAACCATGGCAACACCGTTCAACAAAATCAAAAACCGATGCACTATTCTATGTATCTTAGTGTAGTCTACTTGTGTGCCAAGTTATATTGAAATCAGACCAAAACTGTAGAAGGAGTAGCGTTTTAAAGGAATTTCACAGAAAATTCTATTTTTAGTAACCATGGCAACAAAGTTCATCGAAATCAAAAACCGATGCACTATACTATGTATCTTAGTGTAGTCTACTTGTGTGCCAAGTTATATTGAAATCAGACCAAAACTGTAGAAGGAGTAGTGTTTTTAAAGAATTTCACAGAAAATTCTATTTTTAGTAACCATGCCAACACCGTTCATCAAAATTAGAAACCGATGCACTATTCTATGTTTCTTTGTGTAGTCTACTTGTGTGCCAAGTTATATTGAAATCAGACCAAAACTGTAGAAGGAGTAGCGTTTTTAAGGAATTTCACAGAAAATTCTATTTTTAGTAACCATGGCAACACCATTCATCGAAATCAAAAACTGATGCACTATTCTATGTATCTTAGTGTAGTCTACTTGTGTGCCAAGTTATATTGAAATCAGACCAAAACTGTAGAAGGAGTAGCGTTTTTAAGGAATTTCACAGAAAATTCTATTTTTAGTAACCATGGCAACACCGTTCATCGAAATCAAAAACTGATGCACTATTCTATGTATCGTAGTGTAGTCTACTTGTGTGCCAAGTTATATTGAAAACAGACCAAAACTGTAGAAGGAGTAGTGTTTTTAAGGAATTTCACAGAAAATTCTATTTTTAGTAACCATGGCAACACCGTTCATCGAAATCAAAAACTGATGCACTATTCTATGTATCTTAATGTAGTCTACTTGTGTGCCAAGTAATATTGAAATCAGACTAAAAATGTAGGAGGAGTAGCGTTTTGAAAAATTGTTTACAGACAGACGGACAGACAGACGGACAGACAGACAGACGGACGGACGCCGGACGCATTACTATCACATAAGCTCTTCTGGTCTCTGACCAGTAGAGCTAAAAACAGACACTTTGAGAAAGCGGGTGCTAGAGGGATCAAGTTCATCAAAAGACAGTACTAGTACCAAAATCTCCATGACCCAAATTATCAATGATGACTCGGAAGGTAAACATCGTTCCCACTTGAAAATTCAATCATCACTGCTTGATAGAGGAGCGTTAGCTTTTAGAAGTTTTACTAAAAAACAACTACTTGATATTGCTAAAGCCTATGACTTAACACAGTCAATGAAAAGTACAAAAGCTTCAATAATTGACAGCCTTATACATCATATTCCTAAGTGTCTGTGTATTTCGAACGTTACCGCTCTTACAAAGTGTGAAGAAACAAATTGTGCCAACCCTGAAGCAGATTTGCCTGTAGAAGAAGATAAAACTTCAAATGTCTCATTAAGTATAGTACCAACTCAGTCAGAGAGGAAAACCAGAGGGAGGAAAAGAAAAATCAAGACAGTTTACACCTAAGGAAGAAAAAACAGACACAGAACTTAAGGTGATGAATTGAATACTAGTACATGTATCATTTAATCTGTCAAATAATGGAATTTAGCAATGACATGTTTTACAATCAAAATTCTCTCTTTTTTACAGTCTAATTCTTTTTGAAGGCATTGCTGCAACAAAAGGAGATGCACGTTTCCCACCAGAATTAGATTTTCTGGACACCACTGTCTCTCCAATAATAACACTGTTTATGCCGGTTCTATAGGAATTGTAAGTAGGATTTGTTGTAGGTCCATGATATAAAGATCTTTGTTGACAGAAAATATTTTCAATAATGTCACTATTTAATCTGGCAGGGACAATTTCAGTGTGAATGTTTTCAATACAGAATTTAATAAGTGACATGATACCATAATACATGAAGTCAAGATCCTCTCTGGTTTCCATAGTGATTAAACTCTTGTAACGCTTGGCAGTTGTGTCACTCTGACACACTTCTTTCTCCCATGGCTTAAACCAGTTGTATGATTCTGTTAGCTGTATTAATCTTGTATCACTCATGTCTTTCACAGGTCGCTGATCCTGGAAAAAGGAAACCAGTATACTAGTATGCTCCAGAAATTCTATGGCACCACACAATGCAGCTTTCCCAGCTTCACCAAGAGAATTACTGTAAGTTTTCATTAAATGTAACATTTCAGAGTCCAGGGTTTCAAAAGCCAATTTATTTCTCATTTTCTGTACATTGTTTGGATAAATATGCTCCTGAGATAACTTGTAATGAATTTTAAATGCATGATTGTCTTGGTCCCAGTTAAAGGCATCAATCCACATCTGCCATTGAATTGTTTTGCCATCAACAGTTAATAACCTTTGGTGATGTTCTTGAATACCACTACTTAGTACGCTGTTACGCAGTTTTTTGATTAGATGACATGGATCCATGATAAATATCATTTTCCTTGAAGGGTTCTTGTAATGTGCAGCAATCATTTCAGTAGACAAAGGATCATTTTCAGGGAAGTGCATTTTAAGAAATGTGCGATTGTTACTGGACCCATCCATACAACAGTATATAGGTTTGAATCCCCATTCATACAAAGCATCAATACATTTCCATGTACAAACAAATATATCAGCAGGAGGAGCTGTTGTAGTTGGATAGTTTGCCAAAGGCCAACGGAATCCAGTAACCCCATGAAACAGATATTGCATAACATGATTAGCAAGTTTATTTTCAACTTTTCCTTCATTTATGTTATGCATTAACATTACATCAGGTTCACATTCAACAAGTCCATACAAGGTACTCTTTTTGCCACTGTTGACAATTTAGAGATCCTCCTGAATTGACATTTCATCAAGAATTATACCCCCATACAATCCTTCTTTAGTGATATTCAAATCAAGGGCTTCTTTCCTCATCCATTCCATCATCTCAGGAATTATTCCAGGTCTTTGTTTTACAGCAGACTTGTAGAGATACAGAAGACTCTCTGATGGAAGATTGACCCACCCATTCTTGATGATGTCTCTGTAAGCAGATGGATTTCTGTTGTACAACGTAAGGGACATACTGATTACCTCTTTAGGCCATCTCATACCACTGGAGTTTTTACATTCAGATGACTTAATCTGAGTAGCTATCAGCATAAGTTGGTTTTGACTTAAATTTGGTGCCAGTTTCTGCAATTCTTGAATAATTGTTGGTAAGTGTTTTAAATTTGGATCAATGTTTTCCTTACTGTTGTCAGAGTTTTTTTTACTTGAATGCAGTGCTTTCTTATATTTTATGTAATTTGAACATTTTGCACATTTTTCTGTCCTGGAATTTAATGAGACAACCCTAACACAGTCTATATGCCTGATTACAGTTTTTGTTGTTTTATTATAAACATAAATCTCTTTTACAGTCTTTTTCCCACTGGAGAAGATGTCAGTTTCACCAGGTTGTAAGTCGAATCCATGACAAAGAGAAACTGTCCGCAAACTTTTGAACAAGCCTGTAATCGCATTTTCGGTAAACTCTATGTAATTTGAAATGAGATACATGGATGGATCAACTGATGTACCAGCAACCAACAGTTCAATAAAACCTGTATCTTTTAGTATTAGTTCAGTGAGGACAGAATTTCCATTAAATTTTTCAATGGACATAAATCCAAATTTTAGATTTTCTTCTGTTCTTTCTATTAAATTCCACTGCTTTGGAGCAAATGCTGAGATATCTGCAAAGCTGAGAGCTTTATGGGGTAGCATTTCAAATATTAAGCCTCTGACACCAGGGTTTTTTTTCGTTCCATTAATTCCATTTTCCCACACAATAGACTTTTTTATGGTGGGGAACATTTTTTTTAACATTTTGAACAAATTGTCATAACTGCATGTGTCTTTTATGTTTGGAAACACATGAAATGCTTCATTAAATATTTTGTCCAATGACACATTGTTTAAATTAATTACTTTGCTTCTATCCTCTGTTAAATTCTCAGCTAGCCTACAAAATCAAATAGAACTATGACTAATGAGACATTAAGTACTGTACTATGTAAAGAAGCAGTTCATTTGTGTTTCATAATCTGCCAAAGACCAAATTAGTCAGGATTTCAATTGCCAAATGTGTTTAATATATGAAGTTCATAAGTGTGAGTAAGGCCATTCCAAGTTTTTACTATGTTTAACATCCACTCATTTTCAAAAACTTAACAACCTATTAAGAAACAAGATGTGTTTGTGAAACACTATGCGCCTGGTGGCAACAAAGTTTGAAGAAGCTAGTTTTAGCATGTAGGTCACAGTCAAGGTTGAAAGGTCAATGACCTTGGTGTCATTTGAAAGAGCTTAATTAGTGGAGTATGCATATCAAATATGAAGTTGGTATCTCTCATAAGTTATTGTGAAAGTTAAAGCTGACAACAGACAGACAGGACTAAAACAATATCCGCCCTGAATCTTAGGGCGCATGAAAACGCACAATAACAAAAAATAAAACACATTTTGTGGTCATAAAAATGACATTTTTATAAGAAATTGATTTTATTATTTTTTATTATTCTTTGCCAAAGCATATGAAGGTAAAATAAAGTTTATTAATATGCTCTTAATAAGACATATTGTAGGCAAAATTGTAGAGAAATTGACTGAATTCAAAATTTTGAACCAGAATAATAATCTTCTGATTCTGCTTGTTTTTCTCTTATGAGTGTCATAAACCATAGCAAACGTTTACGACAAATATAGGAAAAACAAGATGTGTTTCTGAAACACCAATGCCCCCAGTATGACAGCTGATGGCAAGGGTTGAAATCTCTCAAATGCATGTCAACTCCAAAGGTCAAGGTCAAAAGTGTTGGTACCCAGATGAAGATCTTGTTACAAGGAACACATTTTTTAAATATGAAAGCCCTATTTCTAACTGTTCAAAACTTATGACCAAGGTAAAAATTTTTAAAAAGTTAGTCAAACTCTTTGGTCAGGGGCATAAGGTCAAAAATCTTTATACGAACTGAAAGGTCTTGACAAAATGAATACACATGTGAAGGATGAAAGCCTTATCTCCAACTGTTCAAAAGTTATGATCAATGTTAAAGTGTGGTGGTGTTTTTTTTTTGTAAATGTAGGTCAAAAGCCAAGGTCAAAAGGTCAATATTTTTAAGTGAATGCTATAATGTCTTATAAGAGAAAAGTCAAATGAATTACATCATACTTTTAATATAACTGCATCACAGTAATGAAAATTTTGACCACCCCCACCCCACCCCACCCCCCTCCCCGCTTCCCAACTTTTTTGTTGCCATGGAACAATATATGAAGTACATTAATTTTATGACAGTAAACTTTTTTAAATATTGAAACAAGTGCCTGTGGCTTCTGATGAACATAAATAATTAATTTACTACCTCTCTTTTCTCTAAAGAAAGTGGCAAAGATTTATAATAGATAGCTACCCCCCCCCCCCCACACACACACACACACACACAACACACAACACAACAGGAACAAGAAAACATTTTATCACGTCTAGTATATTATATTATTTTTAAAATTTGCTTATTGTTCATGTTGGAAACTTTTTTTTTTGATGGACCATGTGCTTATGAAATTTGTAATGAATTCTCTGTCGGTGCTTAGATACAATGAACTTTGAAAGAATTCCTTTTAATCACAAATGATATTTTAAATATTGTTGTGGTCATGTTAATTTATGCATACCATGAGCAAAATCTTTTCTGTTGCTGCTCCATGTTTAATCAAAAATCAAATTATGCCGCCAATAATGTTTATGAATCCCAACAACCGGTATGTTTTAGCTATTATCTTATTAAATGAAGAAAAATCCCGAAGCGTACGAAAAATCTTGGAATTTTTTAGTGGATAAAAATAGCACATTACAGTAGCTTAGTTCAAACCATTATTAAAGTAACCAAGCTTTAGTTTCACGATATTTTTCTTGAAGTAAATTTCTTTTATTTTTCTCAAAATGTGGGAAGTATTAATTACTTTTTCTTCTCCTTGATTTTGATTTTATGCATTCTGCCCGAGACTTGAACATCCAATCCTATGGTACAGTTTGACTTTTCACTCGGCGAGCAGAGTTTTGACGCTGATTACGGAGATAAAAGAAAATAAAGACAAGCATGCCAGATATGGTTGTGTAGATAAATTATCGTAGAAGACATAGGTATAAACAGTTTACCCATGCATTTCCTCTGAAAGTGTAAATGAGCGCGATTCTAAGGGAGGGGGGTACTCGGTGAAAATCGGAGTTAGACACCTTGTGTTATTATTATACTATGGGTCAAATTTTTTTTACAGAAACAAGTGCCTGTGCCCCGGGGTCATGGATTCTAGTGCTAGGGCGGGGCTAAATAAGTATATAGTGAAAATGCATGAATTCTTTGAAAATCTTCTTCTCTGCTCCTGGGTATAAAATAAACTAACTAAGTGCATAGTTATGATGAGCAAGAGTGCCTCTACCAAAATTGTGAATTTTATGGCCCCAGGGTTAGGGGTTCTGGTGTTAGGGTGGGGCTCTATAGATTATATAGTGAAAATACATGAATTCTTTGAAAATCTTCTTCTCTGCTCCTGGGTATAAAATAAACTAAGTGCGTGCATAGTTATGATGAGCAAGAGTGCCTCTACCAAAATTGTGAATTTTATGGCCCCAGGGTCAGGGGTTCTGGTGTTAGGGCGGGGCTCTATAGATTATATAGTGAAATTACATGAATTCTTTGAAAATCTTCTTCTCTGCTCCTGGGTATTAAATAAACTAACTAAGTGCATAGTTATGATGAGCAAGAGTGCCTCTACCAAAATTCTGAATTTTATGGCCCCAGGGTCAGGAGTTCTAGTGTTAGGGCGGGGCTCTATAGATTATATAGTGAAAATACATGAATTCTTTGAAAATCTTCTTCTCTGCTCCTGGGTATTAAATAAACTAACTAAGTGCATAGTTATGATGAGCAAGAGTGCCTCTATCAAAATTGTGAATTTTATGGCCCCAGGGTCAGGGGTTTTGGTGTTAGGGCAGGGCTCTATTGATTATATATTGAAAATACATGAATTCTTTGAAAAAAAATTCTTTTCTGCTCCTAGGAATGAAATAAACTAATTACATAGTTATGATAAGCAAGAATACCTCTTCCAAAATTGTGAATTTTATGGCCCTAGGGTCAGGGGTTCTAGTGATAGGGCGGGGCTCTATTGATTATATACTGAAACTGGATGAATTGTTTGAAATCTGCTCCTTGGTATTAATCAAATATTTTTGAAAAGCAAGGGTGCCTTTTCAAAAATTGTGCAATGTGTGGATCTAGGCCTAAGGGTCAGGGGTTCATGTGTGATTGGGGAATTACTGATCATGCTGAATATTACTGATTACTTGAAATGCATTTTTTGTTCCCCTACCCTGCCTATGGATATTAAGTAAACAATCTAAGCAACTGCTAAGTGTATTGTTATGATGATCAATGGTGTCTCTTTCAAAATTGTGAATGCCATAGCATCTGGATTAAAACATGAATCAAATTCAATCACTGGAAAGTTGTTGCATAATGCTCAGGTGACCTATATGGCCCATGGGCCTCTTGTTTGTAGTTTGTATCTGTCGAAAGGTGAGGGAATGAGATGAACGGGTAGTCCTACTTGGGAGAATGAACTGAACTAAGGGGATGGCTACTAGTACATGTAGGATCTTGTACATAAGTACAAGCCCTCCTTTGTTGTAAGCTTCGCCAATCTAGGGTTTGTAGCATATATGAGACACTTGATGTTATTCTTAAATCCGACTTCACCCACCTTGCAGCTCTTTGCTGTACGGCCTCAACTTGATTAATAAGTGTAACCAAATGAGGGTCCCAAACACTGGCAGCATACTCAAGCTGTGGACGTACCACCGCTTTGTATGCTGCTGACCGAAACTGCTGGTTCCTGGGTATCGTTTCACAAAAGCATCGTAAGTTGTACGTAGTACGTAAATAGTGCGTAGCTAAATTTCGGCGTTTCACGAAAGCGTCTTAACTCACGTTGTATCGTACGTTACGACGTAACTTTACGTCACCTTGGAGGTGACGTAAAATTACGTCTTAACGTTAATTTCCAAAGATGGCAGCGTTCATGAGAGTCACAGACGAACAGGTGCGTCGAAATTTACGCAGACAGCGCATGTTCCGGGACATGCATATGACGACATCGATATTATCCATCGTTATCGGTTGGACAGAATGACCATCATTAGTATAATTGACATGGTTTAAGATCGTCTAGAGAAACCAACAAAAAGATCTGCGAGTCTTCCAGCCTGTTTACTACTTTAAGATTCCTTGCTTCTGGCTCCCAGCAGAGAGTGATTGGAGACACTCTGGGAATATCCAAGTCATCTGTCTACAGGTATTTTAATACAAGGATGATAAAATTAATTTTTATGTTAGTTTAATCCAAATTTCAATAGGCCTTTTTCAAAAAATGTTAAACTGTCCTCTCCCAACTCATGATAAACTAGAGGTACTGTGAGCGATGAGCTCACTAAATGATACCCCCCGCCTCAGTATAGTTATGATGGCAAAGTCCATGTTTTGCTGTGGCCGTGAAACCCAAAATATGTGTCGGATCAAAAAGTAAAATAGGAGTTGCACAATGGCAATATGTAATAAAGATTCTGTGAAAGTTTCATCAAATTTCATTCAGTGGTATGAGAGGAGTTGCGGATAAGAGATGGGTACCCCAAAGCGTAACAGACGGAGGACGGACGGACGTACAGACGGACGGACAGACGGACGGAATTAACGATTACTATATACCCTCCCGCTTTTCAAGCGGGGGGTATAAAAAAAATTGGAAGAGAAAGACATATAAAGGCAAAAAA